TGACTGAAGAGCAAATGTTGAAACTAGTATTGTAGGTCGTTGCCCTCTGTCAAATGCTAAACATTCATTACCTTGGTCTCAGTAGTCTATTCACAAGATTCTATATTTGTTTATATCAGTTTCAGGAATATTTGAAAGAAAGGGTTTTGTTCATTTTAACCGCTTCTGAAGCTACCAAGAGTTCAGATATGCAGTATCATAACTACATGTTAGAAACAAATCCCACGCCTGAAGTGTGGCTGCTCTCACCACACACTCTATTCACATCAATAAACCTCACCTGGATTCATTATTAGAATTTCTTTTGCTTGTTTTATTGTTATAACATGTGAAGTGTAATCATAGATCAAGTAGTAGCCTATCTACTGCTATGTGGCATATTTGGCAGAATCACTGATAGTACCTCAAACTTAAAATATATCTTTAATACTTCAGAAAAATGATTTTTATTTTTGGCATGTAGACGTATATTCTGTGCAATTGTTTTGATAGAGAGCAACATTACTTATTCTTCAGACATTGTTCTGTAAATACAGTAAGTATCAGTTGTATACAAAGTGACCAGCATTTGGTTTTCATCCATTGAAAATGGATAATATTCAATTAATTGGACATGGAGTCACATTGAGATCCACACATCTCTGGGACTGAACTACACAGGGCCTCGAAAATGAAGATTACGACAGAAAACTTTATTAAACAGCCCCTATTATGCCATTTTGAATATTGCCTTTCGTGCAGTGTGTGATGTAGCTGTCTGTGAATGTAAACGATCTGCAAAGTTGTAAAGCCGAAAGTGCAGATAAATAAAGTTACTGTCTCCCAAGAGAAAGACTCGACTCTGAACAGCCTAAACGAGTCTCAGTATTCGAATTCGAATCCCACTTCCGTGACGGCTACACATCACAGGTAACACATTTGCATAATGCCCGCCTATATTCTACGTTGGCCGGCCGTGAACAACTTGACCCTGCCCACAAACACTGTAGCTTGTTCATGTGGTTATCATCATGTCGAGAAGACGCTGTGCTCTACGCTGTGAGAGTAAATTATTTTTATTTTCACTTCCGAAAGATGAGGCAACAAAGAATCAGTGGTTAAAATTTAAAAAAAAAAATGTTCCACTGTATGTACACAGCAGTACAACCCCAATCTTTTTTTAGTGTTTGCATTTTACTGACGACTGCGCCACACACTCTATTCACATCAATAAACCTCACCTGGATTCATTATTAGAATTTCTTTTGCTTGTTTTATTGTTATAACATGTGAAGTGTAATCATAGATCAAGTAGTAGCCTATCTACTGCTATGTGGCATATTTGCCACATATAATAATTTTTTTTCCACTGTATGTACACAGCAGTACAACCCCAATCTTTTTTTAGTGTTTGCATTTTACTGACGACTGCTTCTCTAATCTCAGGGAGTTCAATGCGGGATTCACAAACGCCTGCTCTTGAAAGATCAATCAGTATCTAGTTTATTTGGATCATCTGGCTCCACTGAATCACAACCTGTAATTATGATAAATAATAGATGCTTATCATTTCTATCCAGCGTTCAAGATACGGAACTATGGCAATGGGTGTATCGTTTCCGACACGCGCTGTACGCAGTAAACCAATCACAACAGACGAGGCCGTCTGACCAATCAGAGCAGAGCAGGCTCACAGAAAGGCCGGGTTTAAAGAAACTGCTTCAAACGAATCATTTAAGAATCACTGGAAAACGAGGTGATATTAAATGCATTGGCTATTTGGAGCCAATTGATGAGCTATTGTAGGAAACTCCCAAAACAATATTATGAACTTTAAAAATGGCATAATAGAGGCACTTTAAGACCCTATATCTAAAAGGGCATTAAGATATTTTTAAATCTTGAGTTGTAGGCATGCAAACTTTGGAGAAAAACTTGAAAAGTGCTCTTTCCCCGTTTTTGAATGATCACCACCACTGACGTATAATGTGACAAAGATTGCAAAAGTCAGCATTGTTTTCTAATAGAGCTACCAATCTCTGTGTAGCATTAATAACATGCTGGAGGCCGTCTGACCAATCAGAGCAGAGCAGGCTCACAGAAAGGCCGGGTTTAAAGAAACTGCTTCAAACGAATCATTTAAGAATCACTGGAAAACGAGGTGATATTAAACGCATTGGCTATTTGGAGCCAATTGATGAGCTATTGTAGGAAACTCCCAAAACAATATTATGAACTTTAAAAATGGCATAATAGAGGCACTTTAAGACCCTATATCTAAAAGGGCATTAAGATATTTTTAAATCTTGAGTTGTAGGCATGCAAACTTTGGAGAAAAACTTGAAAAGTGCTCTTTCCCCGTTTTTGAATGATCACCACCACTGACGTATAATGTGACAAAGATTGCAAAAGTCAGCATTGTTTTCTAATAGAGCTACCAATCTCTGTGTAGCATTAATAACATGCTGCCATCTTTCTGAAGTCATTTTTACACCCCTGTAATTTGGCTCTGAATCTCAAGTGAAAATCGTCACTTTGATCTCCCTCTACAAAACAGTGGATTACTCAGTAAATATTCATCCATGACATTTAATGTTTTGGCTTTCAAAACTATACATGTTTATCTTTCTTCAGAAATATTATTTACAAAATAAAAAATTTGAGCTGGGGAAGTTTGATTTGAATTTAAACTGAAATTTGGTTGATTTGACAGAATTACCTGTCCAGAATAACCAGAATTAAAAAAAAAGTGTTCACATTCAATGTTTCACATGATGAGTAGTTTCATTTTTTCCCCCTTTGTTTTTGCAGATTTCATAAGCTTTGTTTGTTGGTTTGTTTCTTTCTTTTTCAAATTTGGTTCATAGTTTATAATTCTGAATCTGAATATATATATTTAAATCCTTACTGGGAAAAGGCATGTACCAAATACTTGTGAAAAAGTGTGTGTTCTATGAGCCAATATGAACCAAACCCAAACTTCTCATTGGCTCATCATATCTGCCAAACCATTAACGGTTCTGTCAGGACAATCTCTGATTATTCATGAACATACTGGATCCAAGGATTGGGATGTTACACATTTACACACACACACACACACATACATATATATATATATACTTACTAGATGTGAATTCAGGTGAAGTGGGAGCCTTTATGCCGCTCAGAAGACTGGGGGAAACAAATATCCCAATTAACCTGAATTGACCCAATATGGTTTTATAGAGATGGATGTACTGGGTGGCACTATAATAAGCTAATTTACATTTTATATATGTGTGTTTGTGCACGCTTAAATAATGGGTCTGAATAGTTACTAACCCAACCGATCTCAGAGAGCGAGTGTTCATCATGACGCTCTGAAGCTGAACTCGTTGCGGTCCGTCTCTGCGCCCACTCAACACTGAACACAATTACACAACGACCACGCAGCCCGTGACCTCGTCTCACATTACTGCAGGCTTATTCCACACAGAATAAGGTCAAGAAATAGACAGACAACCTTTACACAATGCTCCTTTTTCATTGCGTTCTCTCTTCATTAAAGGCACAGTTCAGCCAAAAATGAAAATTTCTCCACGATTTATTCAGCCTCGAGCCATCCTAGGTGTGTATGACTTTCTTCTTTCAGACGAATCAAATCGGAGTTATATGAAAAAATGTCCTGGCTCTTCCAAGCTTTATAATGGCAGTGAATGGGTGTTGAGATTTTGAAGCCCAAATAAAGTGCATCCATCCATCATTAAAAGTGCTCCTCATGGCTCTGGGGGTGAATAAAGGCCTTCTGAAGTCATTCGATGCATTTGTGTAAGAAAAATATCCATATTTAAAACTCTATAAACCGTAATCTCTAGCTTCCGCTGACTGTCGTTCACGAGAGAGAGACGTCCAGCGGATGACGTAGGACCCAGGCGTAGCGTGAGCTCTGGTGAGAAGTGACGAATGCTGAAGCACAGCAGAGAAAGCAAAACAAAACACCGGTCACCAATTAGAAGCACAAAACAAGGATTTGTAAAGACAAATGTGGGAGGATTTCGATATAAGCCGAACTCATACGTCATCCGTCCTGGAGCTGCTTCCGTTTACTGCAGTGAGCGCAAGCTAGATTAAAGTGATTATTACGTTCTGAATATGGATATTTTTCTTACAAAAACACATTGATTTGCTACAGGAGGCCTTTGTTCACCCCCCGGAGCCGTGTGAGACACTTTTTTTTAATGGATGGGCACTTTTTACTTAACTTCTTTTGGACTGATGCATGCAACACCCGCTGAGTGCCATGAAACAGCTTGAAAGATCAAAGACAATTTTAATATAACTCTGACTGGATTCGTCTGAAAGAAGAAAGTCGTATACACCTAGGATGGCTCTGGGGTGAGTAAAACGCAGCCTAATTTTTCATTTTTGGGTGAACTAACCCTTTAAGTCCATATCGCCCATCCCTAGTACATTAAGTATGGAGACATGGTGTGACTGCACTGCAGCGATCAGGGCTTCTGCACGCTTTATGAAAGTACATTTAACACTTTTTAAAGACCTTTTAAAGAAGAAAACTTACAGAATAAATTGAAGGGAACACAATATGTCAAAATGTTATCTAAATGTAACATCATGAGTTACCAGCAACACTTCAAAGTTCGAAAGTAGAACTTTGAACAAGTTTTAAAATACAAATAAAATAGCTTAACTAGAATATGGAAATAACTTTTACCTTCAGATCACACTGCCAAATAAAAAAAAAGTGTCTAAAATGCAACTGAAATCACGATAGATGCAGAACTAACATAAGTTAAGTTTTCTGAGAAATTAAATGAAGTGAACTTATTTAAAAATAAGCACGATATCTGCCAATGGGCTCAGAATAATCAACTTAAGACATAATTTGAGAGGTTGAGACTAGGTTTTATATCAGATGTAACAAAGCACAACCTAATGTTTAGTGTTTTATTCACACATCAACAGAAAACAGACTGAAAGCAGATGTTGTCAGGTCAGTTCTGACTGCAAGGCTGTGAAGTCCAGCAGACTACTGCGATCTGACATACTTTACAGTACAACCTACCTGATGGCACAGGATTGCAGGTGGTTTCATTTCAAATGCTGTCGTTTCTTTGCAGATTTGAGAAGACTCGTACATCAGGTGAATGACAGGTTGGAGTACAGCAGTTCAGAAAAAGCCCAGTTTATTGTGACATTCATAACACATTTTGCCTGAGGAAACAATATTTACCAGAGCAGGTCATTCATTCAGGTATAATGGATTCTTTCTTTTATCAAGAGCGCCAATGAACCAATGGAACGAAACACTGACATACGCACAGTACATACTTGACAACCACACCATGTTGGAAGCTGGATAAATTTACCTAAAGACACACGTACACCGGCACATTCTGACATGAGCACGTGTCGCCATCCTCATGCAAAGACAAAGACAACACAGACGGGACGTCAACGAGTGAACCGCGTCACATGGGACAAACACTCCAGTGCGCGACAGACAATCGTATCGAGGCACTGCTATTCACCAACAAGCATGCAGATGCAAGAAACGCTGTTGATGTGAGAGACAAGATACAAACCAAAACAAAATCATATTTTAGCATAAAATATTATACGAAAGAAAATGGCAACATACTGATAAAGACTACAAGCTACGACGACCGAACTCAAGGCGGCATTCTTTGAAATTATAGGCTGAAGGTTGGGTTTTTTGCATCCATGAGGAGGAAGAAATGTTTTCTTCATTTTAAAGGGTCCATCCAGAGTGATGTAACTGCACCAGCATGTAAAAGCATGTAAAGCTCCTAAAAAGGAGTAAAAGTCTATGCTTCCAGACGCACAGGTCAAAGCTCAAAAGCAGGGAAGCAGGAACCCTCAGGCTGGATGACATCTGAGAGATAATGGATGGCTCCTGCCATACCTACAACAACAATCTGGTTAGGTTTGATTTTCATATCGCAATACTATCAGATTTCAGTTTGTAGAAATGTAGCACTGCATCAGTGTCTCAGCAATGGATGCTCTGCAGTGAATGGGTGCCGTCAGAATGAGAGTCCAAACAGCTGATAAAAACATCACAATAATCCACAAGTAATCCACAGCACTCCAGTCCATCAGTTAACATCTGGAGAAGACAAAAGCTGAAACTAATCCAGCATTAAGACCTTTTTAACTCAAATATGAGTCCATAATCCATAATAACTCTTCCTCCAGTGAGTCAGTGTTCTGGTGTGAATCAGGAGAGAAATCTGCACAGATCAAGCAGTGTTTAAACAGCTCTAAACTAATATGTGGCTGAATTTTGATGTGAGAGACAACAGCAGATGCACTTTTTCACTGGAGGAAGAGTTATTATGGATTATGGACTCTATGTATTTTAGTTAAAATCGTCTTAATGCTGGATGTGTTTCAGCTTTTGTCTTCTCCAGATGTTAACTGATGGACTGGAGTGCTGTGGATTACTTGTGGATTATTGTGATGTTTTTATCAGCTGTTTGGACTCTCATTCTGACGGCACCCATTCACTGCAGAGCATCCATTGCTGAGACACTGATGCAGTGCTACATTTCTACAAACCTGATGAAGAAACACACTCATCCTAATCTGGGATGATCTGAGGGTGAGCACATTCTCATTTTTGCGTGAACTATCATTTCACATCCAAAAGCCCAACTGAATTAGAATGAAAAATAGCTGCATTATGCTGCTTAATATGCAGCAGTTTGTTTGTGAAGTCATGTTGGGCTGAGGAGGGTAATGCAGGACCATCTCTGACCACTAACTACAGACTCGAGCGACCAATCAGAGTGTGACTTTTAATGAGACTGAGTGCAGGAAGCGGGTTGCCATGACAACAGCAAGGTAAAGCAGCAGATAAAGCACTATAGATGCTGAGTGTTTACGGCTGTCGGTGAATGTGGACTCCTATTGAGGACAGACGACAGTGGAGAATATTATAAGGACAGAGAGGAATCAGGAAATGTCGCGAGCCGGATTAGAACTGGTAAATGTCAGAATATGTCGAAGCACACATGCTGAATATGTTTGGCCTTTTGACGTTTACTAGAGAACAGTTTCAAGCCGATGATTAAGAAGGACAAGTAAAACAGGATTAGGAAATGTTGCGAGCCAGATTCAAACTCACATTGCTCACAAGAGAACCACACCTCAAAACTCATGCACATTACTATTATCGCTTAAATAAATCTTTAAAGATAAAATGTTTTAATACATTTTAGCTGCAAATAAAATTACAATCTTACCACTGAAATATGCATTTAAAACTTAGAATTTTGATTTGATTTTATCTTATCAAACTGTTTTTATTTATTTATTTTTATTTTTCGAAGATTAAAATACACTACCACAATCCAAAGATTGGGGTCAGTCGGATTTCTTTTTTTCTTTTTTTTTTAAACAAATTATTTATTTTCATCAAGGATGCATTAAATTGATCAAAAGTGACAGTAAAGACATTTATGATGTTACTGAACTTTCTGTTCATCTGTGAATCCTGAAAAATAAAATGCATCACAGTTTCCACAGAAATATTGTGCAGCACGACTGTGTTCAACATTGATAATAATCAGAAATGTTTCTCGAGCAGCAGATCAGCATATTATACTGATTTCTGAAGATCATGTGACACTGAAGACTGGAGGAATGATGCTGAAAATACAGCTGCGCATCACAGAAATACATTACAGTTTAACAGAGATTCACACAGAACACAGCTGTTTTACACTGTAATAATATTTCACTGTTTTTACTGTATTTTTGATCAAATAAATGCAGCTTTGGTGAACAGAAGAGACTCTAAAATATATATTTTTTTAATTTACCAACCCCAAACCTTTGTATATAAAGGATTATATAAAAAAAATGTTTATATACAGTAGTTACACAATATAAACTGTTTTAATTAAGCTACACAAAATGTAAAAACCACAGTGATCTGTGTCTCTTATTTCCCCACAGAGAATGACAGACTCTGATTACGTCTAATGAAGAAAGGGGCAGAGATCTTTAATGATGAGAACGGGCTGGAAACCACTATTTGAGGATATTTGATCAGTGAGACGTGATCAATTTACCTTCGAAAAGAGAATAAGGCCGGTCAGGAATACGGCAGCCGTGGGTCCCGTAGTCTAGACACCATTCAGCAAACTAGAAACAAATACAAAAAATTATTAAAAACAGAAAATCATCATTTGGAACACAAAGTACAAGCTTTATCATAAAAATGAAGTGTGGAAAGTGTCCTGATCTGCCTGTCCGTGCAAATCCATAAAGCATTATCATCTCAAGAGAAAATAAAAAGATGAGTGATGAGCATGAATCAATTGTTTTGATGGGGCAATTTTTGCTTCACTTTTTCATAAAAGCATCAGAAACCTTTTCACTCAAGCTGCTGCACAAAGAGAGAGAGAGCGAGAGAGAGAGAGAGAATGACAAAAATTGGTTTGATCAAGACTGCCAAACTATTCGCAAAAAACTGAGAACATTGTCAAATCAGAAACACAAAGATCCCAATAATGCAGAGCTCCGCCTTCTTTACAGTGAAACACTAAAACAATACAAACATACGCTCAGAACCAAAAAAGCACAATACACCCAAAAACAACTGACAATCATCGAGAAGTCAGTGAACACAAACCAATTTTGGGAAAATTGGAACAATCTGAAAAAAACTGATCATGAAGAATTGGCTATACAAAACGGAGAAATATGGGAAAGTAATTTCCAAACATTGTTTAATGAAGTACAAGAGAGAGGGAGAGAGAGTGAGAGAGAGATCCCTCTCTCTCTCTCTCTGTCTCTCTCTCTCTCTCTCTCTCTCT